TATTATTATATGTACTTGTATTATGCCCGCGCAGGCTAGCACATTCAATCGTTCTTTTATATTAGCCCAGGGAGGGCTACATGAATAGCCTACACTTCGCCCATTTAACATTTCGCTACAACTTAATCTCTCATGCTTGTCTGTGTGAACATACGTGGTTATTAACATACGTGCGGTATTGGGAGTTTGTGCGCTCATGTATGAGTGTCTGTACCTGCGTACATAGGTGCGTAAGCGCACGCAGAATTGTGATAGACGAGGGAGTGAATTTGTTTTGCTCCATGCTGCAGGTCCTGCGTTAAGATAAATGAAATGATGTACAAACAGGAGAGAGAAGATTATAGCGGGTGCAATAAAAGATAATATCAATAAGTAATACACCAGAGACAGTAAGTTACATTGTCTCTGGTAGTATCCTAGAAATATTTTGTCTCTCGCTTTGTGGGGTCATGTGCAAGTGTTTTTGACTTTGTGTTTGATTATTGGCGCTTTTTAAATACTGCACGCGACGTAATCGAAAGGGTGAATTGTTGTTAGTTTTTAGATTTATTTATTTATGTATTGTTTTCTTTTTTTGGGTGGGGGGGGGGTAGAAAAGCACAGCGTTTTGGAAAAGCATGACGACCTGAATTGACATTTATTATTTTTTTTGGGAAGTTTGACTTACCGTACTTACAATTATTCTCAGTAATAATTAGTACTAGGGCTTAAAACCATTCAGCAAGCGAGTGGCTCATCTTCGACGTTATTCCTTGATTCAGTTTTGGGGTTTTTTTTTACCAAGTACAAATCCTTCATTATTTTGTTATTGTTTCGATTGACTTGTCTTTTTTATATTTTAGTCTTTCGATTTTTTATTTCGTTTCAGTCAGAACACTTTTTTAATTCGTGATGTGTACAATTCTCCGGAAGTGTAAACGCGTCCGCATCAACATAAACAAAATGCTTCAGCAGGAGACGTAACATACATGGTCGGTGCCGAAAATTTAGGTAGCTCTATTTGAACTTCTTACACTGTCTTATTTACTAAAATTGTCTTATTTATTACTATAGATTCACTATATCTAGATTCTATGTCTGTCTTTTTTCTCATCACTTTTTTCTTTCGAATGTGAAATCGAGATCGATGGAAAAAAATGTTCGTAATTCTGAGTATCATTCATCAATTCATCATTGTGATAATCGTACACAACTATACAATGACAAATTAATACAGGGACAATTCATATTCAATAATGTCAATGATATGACGACATAACTCTTGCTAACTTTAACTACTAGATCTATATTGTCAAGGTCTACTAACCCATTGTCATTGGTGTCATCATTGTCCTAGACGAAGATTAACACTGGATTCTACGTCTACTGCTAGAGTAGAGATCTAGACTTAGACTTAGACATTCATCAATTATGGATTGGTGGAGCAGCCAACAGTTGAACTGTGAATTACTGACTACTAATTTAGGAAGATAAGAATAAAACTGTCAGCAATTGTTTACTTTCTCGCATTTAATTCCGGCCACACCTAGATGTTTGATCTAATCTAGATTAGATCTAGACGAAACTCTATGCATCCCCTACTCACTGGATTATATTCAAAACTTTGCGCTGGAAGAGTTAATAATATGTGAACCACGGCGCCCGATTTCGTCATTTGCTACCTATCAATATACTGGCTTAGGACTAGGCCTGCCGTACTGATTGTGATGGCCATTGAGTATAGTATCATAGAGTTCAGAGTGGTCGCTTGTTACGGCTACAGAAGTCTTCCCCTGGAATTAAACGCAGAAAGTAGCCTCTAAACAATTACCAAACTGTCAACCTTAATCAATGGACATCTCAATGGTCAACTGCTGACTACTACTTGTTAGTGAATGACACTTTTGTTTAGGAAATTGGGACCTCTAAATTACTTACAGTAATCTAGTGTCGATGACTGACAACTGATAATAGATAACTGAGAGGAAGGAAGGGGGAAAGAGCATTTCATCTTCTTAGTCTGCCATACTGTCCCTTCAGGAAGATTTCCGTGAACAACCACTATGAAACACAGTAAAATAGTCAATAGAGGGTTAGGGTTTGGGGTAAGGATAGGGGTTGGGTCAGGGTTTGGGTTAGATCTCTTCTTTATTAGTATTAGTGTTTATTGGGGTGGTCGCTTGTTACAGAAGTCCTTAAACTGTCCCGTCTACTTTTATACCTCCATAACAAATGTTTCATTCAAAGATCAACCTAGAATTGTAACCTCCTCTACATATAGGTGGCATCTTATCATGTCTTTTAATGTTTGTTTAGTATTGACGAGCATTGAGTTTAAATATATGGTTCCTCTTGGACAAAAGTGGAACATTTTTAATGGATTATTCAAATGTTTCTATCGAAGGACAAGGTTGAATGATGGCAAGAATACCTGCTTGTCTCTGAATGCTGGAAAGCAAAGGACTTCGTGTAGAAGATTGTGGCCACATTGCCACCATGACACCAACTGTATGCAAGGTAAAATATTATATTAAATTAAATTGTAAAAACTTGTTATTTTCTGAAGTTAAACATTCATAGTTTCATTTAACTCTTAGAACTTTAAAAACTTAAAGATGATATTAAGATTTTTGTCTTTCACACTATTATATACACATTGTCAGCGTCATTCCACAATCACCTAGATCAATTTTTAAGAGTTCCAGGAAAGCTTGGGGGGGGGGGGTTCGAGTAAAGAAATCAACGAACATCTTAAAATGATCCTGTTTTATTTTGTTTTGTCCTTCGTAATTTTTAATTGAAAAACAATGAGTGCCCTTGTCATGATTCTGATATATGTGGCGCTCTGTTTCACAAAACTTTTAAAATATGATTAGGCACTAGAGTGGAATGACGCTGATGATATCTATGACTTTTCCTAAATATCTCTTGTCTCTGATTAAGATTTCTTAAATTATATGATTTTTTTAAAGCCTAAGCATTTAGGTTATAAGGTGGAGGCAACTGCAGGGGAAAATTGTTGGTGCATATATGTGTGCATATTGTATAGTTAAAAGAAATAGTTTTTCTCAGAGTTACTTGTCCTGTCAGAGGTCGTTGCAAATGGGGATCAAACACATCTTAGAGGTAAAAACCAGCCATAGCTCTTTCCATGTCTATTACCAAAGAACTTCTATACTATATGTTGTGTCAAGATGGTCCCTCAACTAATTGTGGTACCTTGACTGTATTAACATGGCAAGCTTATAGTTTTCTTGAATAGTCTTTACAACTGGAGGTTTACAGAGGTTGTTTTTATGGTATGGAGAGTTAGAAACTTATGGTTTATGTTTAGTCAACTACAATTAAATTATAAGAGTGATATAGAGAAAATTTTGTTGTTTACATCATTGCCTGTGACAGTACAGGCAAACTGACACAATAGGTAGAAGCACACTGTGCAGAGATCTTTGTTCAACTATTCTTAAATAGGCCCTAAATAATTTTTTAATGCCCCTTTACTTTTCTTTTTGTTTTCATCATTGCCTCTGGGGTTAAAGAGTTCTTGTGAAGCAGTGAGGCTGGGCTCTTTTGTAGTTCCAAAGATTTTAAAAAATAGTCTGGTAATAGAATAATGAATAATGTAATCATTTTTCTTCCCAGGAATGTGGCTGTAGATGTGACAGCTGCGGCAGTAGCACCACATCATAGTAAGTTGTCATTTTCTTTCCCTGCACATTTGCTCTTGTATGATTGACCTTGAGTTATATTTGCACTGAACATTTTGGTGTAGCTCAGTATCGTTGTCGTGTTGTGTAAGGGCTGTGCTTGTGCAGTTTCGTTTTTTGTTTGTTTGGGGTTTTTTTGTTGGTATTCCTCTTAATTTCGATGTTTTCAAAATTTATATTTTTTAGAATGTGTATGTTTTTGGTATGCTATAACGATTGAACAGTTTATTTGCTATTTGAAAGACATATCATGTACAAAAATGTTGCATCTTTTTCCTTTGGCTTTATGTGTCCTGTTCTTGTCCATTTTGAACTTATGGAAAGAAAATTTTTAAAGATACACAAATCAATTGAATATATATTTATTATGGGGGTTTTTTTTAACTGTTTCTCTTCACATTTACATACATGTAACTTTATCACCTGTCTTGGCTAAAAGTAAAAGTAGAATTTTCCTTTTTGCCTGTATGTGAATTTGTTGACCCCATTCAAGTTTCATGTTTGTTTGTGTACATTCCATACCCTCATGAGTGCAGCTACATCTGACAGTTTCTACTTCCTCACATGATCATTATGTTGAACCCTTTTTCTTTTGAAAATATGCTCAAGTTTGCTTGAGAAATATCCTTTATCTAAAAAAAAAACCTGCTCACGCTTATCAGATGTTAATCTTTGCCGTTTCGAAGGTCTCTTAGACTGGAATAAAGATTTTTAATTGCCTGTTCTTTCGCAAATATACTTTGATCCTTGCTTTTCACCGCCATTATATTTTCTTTAGAGATCTTAACCGTTCAAGGAGCTAATAAGGAAGGTAACAATATGCTACACATGAAACCTTGAAACAAATCATCTGTCTTTTGCTATAAACTGCCATTTTGATCTAAGTATAGCTGACATTTAAGTTGATTGTGTTTGCGGTTTCAGTAACAGGAACTTCTATTGCACTGGTGCCATACTAAATTTTCATACATCATAACTTTATGTAATTTCCACAAGACTTATCTAATCATTTGTATGCTTACTTTGATCATTGTTTTTTCCTGAAGACACAATCATATTTTAAGATGTTTTTATCATGTTAGTGCTTTTCCATAGTGAAAACAAGAACTTGAAATGCTTCTTTTGACTTTGAATTTGACAAGGTTGAAATTTGGAGTCTGCTGTGATTGTGACCATGTACCTGTCTTGTGTAAAAAACAGATAAATTCAGAAATTAAAAAGTCAAAAGAACCAACATAGTTTAAAATAAATCTGTAAATACAAATCAAGAATTGAGAGAGCTTTTCTTTTTTGTGTGAGAAATAAATTCAAACTCTGGAAAACATTACGTGAAAACATCCACTCGAGATGTAGAAAAACATGTGAATAGTGGATGTTCAAGTACATTTAAAAATTAATGGACAAGAGAAATGAAATGAAAGGAACAGAAATGTGGTAGTTGGAGACAGTGGAAAATTTCAATGGAAAAGATACTAATAACTGACAAAAAAGGGTCAGGTGAACACTTTTGTCTGATTTATGAAAATGATTTATATTTTACTGAATTTAAAGAAGTTTTGTTAAAAAAGAAAAGAGAAATATAACCACCAGATACAGAGATTATTGTCTTGTTAAATGTGCTTTTCCCTCTTTTCTTGCTGTCCATTCCTGTGGGTAGGTTCTGCACTGAGCTTTCCAAAAGACGTATAGGTTTATCTTTTTTCTCTTTTTTTGGGGGGGGGGGGTAATTGTTTTACAGCGCTCGCAACTGCATAAAGTCATATGAGCACATGGGATACATTAAGCATTTGCTGTTTGGTAGGAACTATTTTTTAATTTTGCCTGGATGCCGACCACAGCAGACTCTTATCGAATTTAGGACCACCGAGGGATCTTTAACGTGCACAAATTGTACACAAGACCTCCGAGATTTTTTTGCCATTATCGGAGAAGGCTAAGTGGTAGATCTTACTACCCTGAGACCAGGGGTGTGGCTGAAAGACAGCAGTGAGAAGGAGCGAAGGAGTAGCTGTAGAAAAGCAGCAGAAAGAATCAGGAGCTCAGAGGAGGGGGGGGGGATGAGGCAGGAAGTGGCCACGTAAGCAGATGACAGAACATGATCGGAGAGCAAGAAAAGAGATGAAAGGAGAATATTTTTAGAGAAGAAAATTTTCCTTCACTGTCAGGTTTCAAATCGGAGACCTATTGAATGAAAAGTGAACCCCATACCTCTAGACCATTAGAGCCCCGAGGGTCAGTCTTTATATGTGACACGACGCAGTGGAATCAGGCGCTCGTCAATTTTTGGGCATGTGGGATTATGGGATTATCGGTATCATCTTAACTCTTTAAGTCCTGAGTTTTTTCCACAGTTTCCCGGAGTTTAAATATTTTATTCTACAGTCACCAAAACCTGGTGCACAATGTCTCATTATAACCCAAAAAGCTTGCCTCCAACTTCTAAAAACGGTAACAAAGGCTCAGTCATTACCAAAAAAAACTTTGTTCGGGAATAGTTCCGAAAAAGAAGCAAAAACTAGCACTAAATAAAACGAAACAGTTGTCACTAGTACTGGACGCTCCCAGAGTCCGATGGGGAACAGGGTTATTACCGCCGGCGTCCGATGGGGTTCAAAGAGTTAAAGCCTGTTCATTTCCCTTTCTTTGGATGCAAAAATATCCATCTACGTTAAATAGAAGTCGAAATATTTGCGATTGAAGGGCGTCAGGGTCGTCTGGTTTTAGAGGTAAAACTAGCGAGAAAATGGCCGCCAAAGTTTGGTAACTTACATAACCTGAGAGTCCTTGGAATATGAAAAATTACATTTTTGTGTGTTTTTAATCAATGTTTTTCAGTGAAATCCACACAAAATGTGTTTTTAATGGACATGAAAGGTGTTGAGCCAAAAATAAGACTTGGAAAAAAATTTGCCCACCGGCCAAAAAAATTGCTGATTTCTTTGATTTCATTATTTTGACGAGCACATGATTTCACCATGCTACCTCACATATTAATCTATATATATGTATTATATAATGCAGCTATATTATATATATACATATACATGTTTTTTTCTTATTACTCATTGAACAAATGATAAGAATTCAAAAGTAATGAGTGATTATATCTGAAAAGATTTTCTTTGAAATTGTATCATGTAAGAACTTGTTTCCTGTCTTCAGCTCAAAAGGCACAAGGTGAGAGAAAGTCACATTAATGGGTGCTTTCCTTTTTCATATTACAGCTTGTAGTATGTATGTAACAATCAGAATTTTAGAGCAAGTTGTAGCGATAGCTTGATGTGCACAGCTGTTTTGCCAAGGGATTAATCTCTGCTTTATTCTTATCCTGTCTTTGTTACTACATGTGACCATATAAAGTTAACTGATTATTTGCTGGCTTGAAGTAATTTGATGTAGCCCTATGTATGGAATGTGGTGCTGTGATGTTGAGAGAGTTGGGTTATTTTGTTAGGGACAAGTATTTCTGCTAATTGAGTTATAAGTAGTAACATTTGCCAGCTGTTCCTTTGTTCTTTTCTATACCTTGCCTTTTTCCACCTTTACTCTCCCACCTGTCCTATCTTTGTCTGATAGTCTGTCCTGCTCTCTCTTTATTTCTTGCTCTCTCTCACTCTCTCTCTCTCTCTCTCTCTCTCTCTCTCTCTCTCTCTCTCTCTCTCTCTCTTTGTGCATTTACTGTGCCCTCCCTGTTTTATCTATTTCTGGAAGCTGGAGGGCACTTGTTCCACAAATGGTCAAGTCAAATTTGAAACTGGATCTTGGACTGGAGCTATTTTTTCTCAGTGTTCACGGAAGTTATCACTGGAAAATCCTCTAGTGTAGTGTCTTGGCATTGTTGCCATTAGTGTCAGCTCTGTTACTCTCTGATCCCATGCAGAACTCACTTGATAAACATGTCTTATTTTTTGCAGCTCTGCACACCAAATAAATGTATTGCACTCATTTCTTTCATTGCACAAGTTTATTGCCTTTTTCAGTAATCAGATTTATATCGGCAATATGATAATACATGTAATATGACGAATGTGTTTGTGGCAAGTACTTGCCAGCGGAGCAACAGCATCGTTTAGCTTTGCTGTGGTCTCTCCAAGCACTGAGTTAATGTCTCTGTCTTAGCTGTTGCTATGAATTCTATCTATTAAATTGCAATGGGCAGTCCTAGGATCTTCCCAAAGTTAATGTTTTGTTTTTTCCAAGGTATGAAATGTAAGCTCTAGATGTCTAATTGAATTGCCTTTTACATTGATTCACTAGATTTCTAATTGAATTGCCTTTTACATTGATTATGTGAAAAGCATGCCAATCAAACGTGTTTTTGTGGTGTGGGAATGTTCAGAATTTTCTAATTTGTTTTGTTTTGTTTTTTCCTTTCATAATAATATCTATGAACTGCTTTTGTCCCCTTTCAATTGTGTGAAACTAAGATACTGTTGGCCAATATTTTTTTTGTGAGTTGATTTTTCAGCAACTGCTGTATGGATGCTACATTGGTTAGATTGTTTCTGCATGCAGTATCATCTTGTGATTCTGTTGCTGGATGAAGAAATGCTTTCCTGTTCTCTGGTGTCAGATATGGCACATGAGTCAGGGACTTTCTCTGTGGACTGCATTCTGAACAGCCGATTTTGTAGTTTCCACTTTTTTTAACCTTTGCCTTGATTTGTTAGTAATGTTTTAAATGGTTTTGGTCGAGAGAATCTTCCCCTTTTTCTAAGTCCATCCGGGGTGGTTGTTTGGTGGGTGCTCTGATGATTTCTATTCAGTCTTCATTTCAACGTTTGTTATAGACATGTACAGTTCCTTGTGAAATGTGTCCATTATAACATTCAATCTCTGTTTAATGGGTTCTCAGAAACAACTCTCTTCTATGGTTCAAAATCAATGTTGAAAACTCTTGATCTGTTCATATTTACTTTCGTGACCTGTTGATATTTATTGGTCACACATTAGATTTGTTCCAACTGATATGCCTTTATAATGTGAATTTTTTTTTTCATGCTAGATATTTCAGTTCTAGCACTGTGAACAAGCCTATAATAAGGTAAAAACCAGAGGGTCTGCTTCAGTCATGGGTCATGAGGTTATGTCCCTCTCAGGTTATGCAAATCTGCAAGAGGATTTTATCTATGAATGCTTGTCTTAATGGACGCAGCCTGTGGGTGAATAAGCTTCCTACTTTTGAACTCGTTGTAAATCTTGAAAATTTAATACATGAGAGTCTTTTCATTTTATAGCTATAGCTTCCTAGGATCTCTTGATTTGTAACTGTTAATTGAAATTCATTCATTACTTTCTTTAGTACTCTGGCATTTTTGTAGTACAACTAGACAGGTAAAACGTATCTCAAATTATTTTGTTTGTTCGACTACTTTTACATCAAATACGTGAAGCTCAGACAGATATTCATGTATTTCTTGGATAGTGAGTGCAATTTTTTTCTTGTGTCTATCCTCTTTATAGATGTTCTTTTTTTTTACATTTACTTAAATGCACTATAGGTTTTCTAATTGTTTTACATTTTAAAGAACTATCAAAGCATTTACTGTGGGCTTCACATTTTGCTGGTTTTTCTAAAGCCTCTATTCTATGCTGTTGCAATTTCTGTCCTGCCTCTGAACATTTTAACATGGACTATTTTTTTAACTTCTCATGTCCTGTTAACACATTTGACTGTGACATACTCCATTACTTTTACCCAATAAAATCCTGTTGTTATATGCTGCAAGTATAATCCCAGACTAGAGTGCTTCTCCTTCTTTATCTCATTCATCTTTAAATAAATATCCCAGTCTCTAGTGCGAAGGTTGCTGTTCGCTGCAGGTCCTCAAGGCTCCCATAGAGTTTGGGGCTCCTTTCCTAGAGTTGATCCAGAACTTCCTCTAAAGTGCTTTATGCTATGGGCAGGCTTGGAAAATATGAGTTGCTGTTTGGCTGCCAGTCCCACATGGACACTGCACTAAGCTGTCAATCCTAACCTTTGTTTAGGGATGTATGGTGTTTCAGACAGTTATTGCCTGTTCTGAATTTTATCTGAACAACCTGCTAGAGCACTAAAAGTATTTTAGACAGAGCACAACCATAGAAATTTAGTGGTTTTGTTTACCTCAAAAGAAGTACATGTAGTGGGCCCATAATATCACTTATTTCATTAATTATGTTTGTTCGCATAAAACTTGCACTTTTGTATGTGGTGTAGAAGATAGGTGCTTCACTATGGCATGCTAAAGACCCAAGTTCGATTCATGCTTGATAAGATAAAGTAATCGGTCTCTTCTCTTGGAAGCTGTATCCCTGGCAGCATGGGTTGGCCTTGACAGGCAAGGTAGAAACCCGCCTCCTAGCTTATCCAAATTGTGTCTACATGGGCAGAAAAACACCTCCTTAAAAAGAAAAAGTCTATAAAAATACAAAACTCTCCATGTTAGGGTTGGGGAAACTCCCTGAATAAAGTAGTCTATGCATATGCACTAGCCATGAAAAAAGTATTTACTAAAGAAGTATCTCTGGAAAGTCACCAGCAACTTGGCAGCCAATTTTTAATTCAATTCACTGAAAAGTGATCAAATATTTATGGTTAAGGTCACCATACAGCACCTACTTTTTTGCTGCTTTTTTTGGTCTGTAAGCTTGCTCTGCCAAGACTCCAGACTGTCGAAAAAGAAACAGTGCTCTTTGAAAGTGTCATGCAGCAATCCGTTATATGTGGAAATAGGTTTCCCAAGCGCAAACGAGAATAAGAAAATAGTAAAAACTCCAGCTCTATTTTTTTCATTTTGTATTTATGCTTTGTGCACATAAATGTATTTATCCTTACTGCTTTGCCCTTTCATCATGAAAAATATGATACACTCCAAATTTCCCATATTTGTATGTCTATGTTTTCTTCCCTGTCAACGACAACTATGATGGTACCGTGGAGAACTGCTGATAGAACGATTGACATTTTGATCTTTTTCCAACCATTTAAACCATGACTTTCAGGGGATGCAACTTGTCTGGATGTTTCCAGAAGTCTGCACCTTTTGTTTCTTTTGTGACTTTTGTTGTTTTTGCTTGTTATAGTATATGTATACAATCCAGTATGTTCCAGAAGCAGGTGGTCATTTTGCACCTTAATGTGGTCTGCTCCTGCTTCTTTCAGTGTCAATCTTGTCTTCATCCTGTTCCTGGCAGAATCTAGCCTTTGCCATGCTGACTTGCAGTAAATCACATCTGATCAGTAAATCCCAGGACACCTACTTCTACATTTTGATCGACCTGCTTGTTTCATATTTGTCTCTTGTCACTCAACTCATACATATCTGTATTTATCAAGCTTTTCCCATTCTCTCTGGTGTGATTTCTCCTTCTTTCTTATCAGATGCCTATCATCCTTATCTCTACTCCTTCTAGTCTTTGTGGATGGTTGGCAGATGCTCTGGTGTGGTTGGTTCCTTCTTTCCTATCAATCAGCTATCATCCTTATCTCTCCTCCTTTTTTTGTGTGTGTATTTGTCACTTTCTTGTAATCCCTCTAATCTCGGGCACTTATATGACTATTTGTGTATCAAGTGTACTAAAACTCTTACCCAAAAAATACAAAAAACCGTTCTCTCTCTCTCTCTCGCTCTCTCTCTCCCTCCCATGATGTGCGTGCAGCCTGGACCTTCACCAACAGATAGCTGAGCTGCACAGCCAGCTGGGGCGTAGCGGCTCACACATTGGCAGCCTGGAACAGCAGCTGCGTGATATGCGCAGCAACACAGATTTTGATTTAAGCCGGACAAAGGATGAGCTGGCACGACTCCGGGAGAGATACGAGAGGTCAGTTAGATATAGTACTCTTTGAGGAATTAGATTCGAGTTTCCAGTTTTTGGAACTAAGCAAATTTTGTCAAAGGATGTAGGCATTGTGAAGTCCATGAAGATATCAGCAGAAAATCAACACAGCTGGAATTTATAGGTTTTCAACTGATACTTTTTTTCTTCAAGTTTAACATAACTTTTATTATTTCATGCTTAAAAATTGTACAAGCTCGACATACAAATGTAAGAAAGGTATTTCCACAGTGCCAAGATCCAAAAAGAAGGTAATTTTGTCAGTAGGCCTCCCATATGTGTGAAAAGATGGTTTTCAACTGATACTTTTTTTCTTCAAGTTTAACATGACTTTTATTATTTCATGCTTAAAAATTGTACAAGCTCGACATATAAATGTAAGAAAGGTATTTCCACAGTGCCAAGATCCAAAAAGAAGGTCATTTTGTCAGTAGGCCTCCCATATGTGTGAAAAGATGTTCATGCTATTAAAACTTAGTTTTTGGAAGTATGTAATATTGAATCAAAGAAGAGTTTTGTGTCTTGAAACTTGTTTGGATTTATCAAACAGTGTTTTGGTATTGAGATTGTTGATGAATGGAGGTCTCTTGTTCTTTCTAATTTAAAGCATTTGTGCTGGAATTATGTTTTCACTTTCATCAAAGTTGGAGACTTCTATTGTTTTGAAGATACATTTGAACGATAAGGGCAATAGCGTATGTCTAATTTTCCATATGAAGAATAATGAATGAAGTTTGAGTATAAGAAAAGAGGTGTGATAGCTAAACACATATATTACATTGGAATATAAGTATAAATACATGTTATCATACATATAATGTGCTGTTGCCATACCTTGCCATATTCTCTCTCTGCAGGCTGCTGGAGAGTCACAAGAAGATGCAGAAAATAAATCACGACCTGGAGGATAAACTCTTGAGACAGGTGGGTGGTGTCTTGCTGAGCCAAGATAGGTGGCTCAAGGATTCACAGGACAAATAAAGATCAGTGGATTGGAGGCCATTTTAGCTGACTGGGTGGTTTTATTGAAGAGAAGAAAATTGTTGGGGTGAGAGATCGAGCATGTATCTGATTCTTTACATTCACAATAATACTCTGAGATTATGTCAAAGACTGGGGCACCTTGACTTAGAACAGATGAGTTTTGATGCCTCTATATCTAAACATTCTTAAAAAGTCAAAACCCTTCTCCGGTATCTGGGCAATTCAAAACAAGAAGTAGGCTACTATTTCTGCACCTTTACACCCCTCTTTTATGTGAAGCTGGTTTTTTGTTTTGTTTTTAAATTTCCTGTGGTAGTGTCCACTTCATTCCTGTCCCTGTTGTGCTTTAGTTTCTGGTGTTGTTCTTACCGGAGCATGAAATAAGTCGGGTGGTTGTAGGGCACTCCTGATAGGTCCTACTTTTTTCCTTTCACTTTTGTTGTTTCTCTTTCCTACCCAACTTTTTCCAATCTCTAAGTGGCTATTATTGTGTCCATGTGCTTCACTTTTTAAAAATTGAATATATTTAGCTTCCTACCCACGTGGGCAGCTTCCCTGATGTAAATGATTAGTGGTAACAGGATGATTTTTCTTTGTGTCATTGTGTATTTAATGAAGTGCCCCCCAAAAGAAGCATAAAAAATAAAAATTTATGTGAATCATCTGTAAGAAAATGCAGTGTCGCTAAAACTTTATACTGCCTGTACCTGATATGACCTTTCAGATAATGCATGCTCACAGACATCCACACTCATAAACACACACTCACACTCACATACACACTGGTGTGTGCGTGCATGCACACACACACATACACACACACACACACACACACACACACACACACATACACACACAAGTAGAGAGTGAGAGATACTTTTTCTCAAAAATTAAACTGATGTGTAAAATCTGTATTTGTTGCTTTTTCATCAGGTGAGTCAGGCAGAATCGGAGAAGGTGTCTCTCCAACATGAGCTTTCCTCCATGATGCAGCGGCTGGTGGATGCACGTACCCTCATCACACACCTGGACGAGGATAATGTGAGTTGTGCCCCTGGTGTGCGTTAGTGCCTGTGTGTTTGCAAGTCTTGGATTTGCACCAATGTTTTTGATGACTAAAAATGTTTTGTTTTCTATCCATCTTTGAAAAAACAAAAAAAAATTTTCTTTTCACTTTTGTTCATGTACTTTTTTTTCACTTCTCATTTCGTCTTTCTTTTTCTTTCTTTTTTTTTTATTGTTCTCTTCTAATTACATGCTCATAGAATTAGAATATTTGAGTAGGTGTTTGAAGGGGGTTTTTTTGTGTGTGGTTATTTTTTTTTTCCGTCTGCTTTTCCCTGCACTTTACAACGGTTTTTCATTTCTATGTCTTTCTCTTTACTCAAACTAAACAAAGTTAAGAATATGTATTGTGGAATGGGTTAGAAGCACTTTTGAATCTTGAAAGATTTTTATGACATTCGGCCCTCAATTTAACACTTTATCTGAGAGGATCAGACCAATAGATAGATTAGAGACTTTCTAGAAATCCAATTTCCAGCGAACCGGCACACTTGGCTAAGGATCTTTACCACATTTATTCACTTAATATGTCTCTTTGGTCTTTTTCTGGGTGGGGGGGTTATGCACCATTCAAAGTAATGGCCATGATATTTTTAAGCACATTGTATGTTTTGCTATGAGAATGTGTCCTTATTACACTGAGTTTAGACATGTCTACATCATACAGGAGCGGTATCGTCAGGACTGCAATGTAGCGGTGCAATTGTTGCAGTGCAAACCTTCCAACTTTGTGTCACATAGGCTCAACACAGTAAGTCCTCTTGTTCAACATCAGTATGTCATGCAGATACTTGGGTATTTTGTGTTCAAGGCTGTAAGTCTTCTTTCGACTAGTGTCAGTATCTCTTGTAGATTAAAGTCTCATGACCAGGATATTTTGATATTTGGGTCTCAAGTGGCCAATTATTTAGTAAGTTCAGACACAACAAATGTCAAGCATACATCGGTGACTCAGCATTAAGGTGGGTGGTCACTGGGATGTTTCTTTGAGCAAGACACGAAAGGGCACTGCACAGTGGAGAACGGCAATGTCATTTTTCTAGTATATCTATGTTTCCGTTTGTACATTGTACGTATCTATGTATTTGTGGACCATATTTTATGTGTTACATCATTGTAAACCATTAGGAATGGAACTTTGTCTTTTGTTTATTTTTTAACTCAGTTATTGTGTAGAGGAAGAAAAATTAGTACACAAATGTTGGGTGAAGAAGAGGATTGGCTGCCTGTCTGAACTTTTTAGATCATGACACCTGCTTTGCACTCTCTGCTGTGTTATATACTGTCATGTGGCTGGTATTTATTTTAGCTGTTTTAGTTGTTTTTGTGTTCCTCTGAAAATGTGTGACATGTATTCAAGTGAAAATGAATGTGCTTGACCATTGAAATCACACCTCATCTTTGGTGTGCATATCTCTGACTGTTTGCTGATCCTTTTTCTTTATTTCCCAGTACCAGTCTCTCCAGATATCATGCATTACTGGTTTTTATCTGGGACCACATATCATATTCTTATGGTGGTGAATTTTTGTGTGTGGTTTTTAAAAAAATAATAAATCAGTATTTCTGTCACCAGTCATAGTATATGAAGGGGGCAAGGGAAAAACATGGGATATCACTTTTTGGGGATTTTGAGAAAAGCTAAAATGAAATACATGACAGCCCACATTTTGCTAAAGTATAATTAAATTTTCCAGGCCTGATATTGGGCGACTCATCAGGTTTTCTCCCTAGACGCTTCGATGGGGAAGAAGAGGTGTGTCAACACTTTCTGACCTATATCATAACTCAAATTATCCAAAAACTGACATAACTTGTTTGTTTTTCCCATTGCACTCTGAATGTGATTTAATTTCATAGCCTTTTCTGTGCCTGTTCCAGCTTCCCCTAGATCTTCAAGAGCGAGTGAAACAGTTGATGCCAAGGGAACAGCTTCTGGCTGCAGAGAATGCAGCCAACAACCCCCCAGAGGAGCCCCGACTCATGCGCATTCCCATCGCAACATTTCCGCCGACAGCCATGGTTTACTCTCTACAGCACAACACTGGCAACAAGATTTCAGGGTCAGAGAGTAAGGACATGAATGGAGGACACTCAGAGACCAGCTCAGGTCTCATTCCCACATCTCTTATTGCTCGGGTGTTAAACCAACCCCGACCACATCGGGCTATCCCGCGGGTCTACCTGTGTACTTCCTGTCGGCGGGACGTGGGCCATGAGGATGTAGGCTGTCAGGTAGACTTCTTGTCCCGCGGCACACGGCCTGTGGAGATCACACCCCTGCCAGCCGGATCGGAACGGGTAGCGAGTCTGATACAGTCTCCTCTCGCTAACACGATTCCAGCAGACGCTCGTGGCTGGCACAGCAATCGCAAGGAAAATAGCAAGGGTCATGGTCACTTTGTGTACACGAATGGTCATCCTGGTCATTCCGGCAGTGTCCACAACATCCCTCATCCTCCCAGTCGAGAGCATTGCCTCAGCACCAGCTCTACAGAGACGGAACTTTAGCCTCAACCTAACCCACCCTCCCCTTCCCTGTCTCTTCCCGACTCATCCCTTCTCCCGTCCAGATCAATCCCTTAATTTATTCACAATGTTGCCTGAGCTGGTGTGTCGTGCTAGCCCATACTATTGGCTCGGAGGGCCAATTGTCTTCCACTGATCTGAGGGAGGTCCTGGTGCATTTTATGGAACTGTGGGAGTTTTCACACAGATATACCCTTTCTTCACAGAGCATTACTATCGGAATAAACTTTATCTAGAGGGAGTACCTATTGTTTAATATATGTTTTAGTTTCAATTGCCAGTTATTTTCATTTTGATGACAGGTTGAAATGAGAGCTAGTGATCTTATATTTTTAATTTTGTTGGATTTTTCTTTTTCTCTTTTTTTTTTTTTTGGTTCATACGCGTGGGAACTGCCATAATGTAATCTCATTTATTTTTCATTTTCCATTAATTGTTTGTATTATAATTTTGTCTTTTTGTCTTGTCACTGTAATTCTTCAAGACTTCCACTTCCATTTACATAGTGATAAAGTCACCTATTTGCATGGTGCTCTTTCCACCAACATGTGCATTTGTCAGGACCAGCATAATTTTTTTTATTGAAAATCCAATCTTTTAAAGAAAAGATAAAAATGCATTGTTCACAGGACAGATGAAGTATTGGTGCTTTAGTAATATCTTTTGCAATAATATTTGCTGGTTACAATGAGTCATTTATTTTATATTTAATTCATGGATGAATGGTATTATTGTCATGACTGTTCAGAGCTTGTCATTTTAATCCTTTACTTCTTTGAAGTGTACTTTCCATAAATTAATAGCTCTCCTTTGGGGGGGGGATGCAGGACACGGGCTGCCGCGGTCTCTTTCTCTGTTGACAATGTTTCAGAATCTATAAGGAGGGTCTCGTGGTCTTGAGGTTCTACCTCTGTAATATCGAGCTCTGGACTTGGAAATAATAATAATAAATATCACATCTTAAAAATTAATCAACAAGTGCGTACGTAAAACAACGTATTATACATATAATATAAATGCATATGTGTAAAATTTTATATGAGAAAAATAGTCTCGCAGTGAAGTTGAAAATGTGTTCACTAAAAAATACAAGGCAATAAAAATTCACGAACGGTCACAATAAGTTGAAACGTGAGTAACTAGAAACATTCATTAAAACATTAATTCTATCATCATCATCATCATCATCATCATCATCATCAATGCCTTTCACCCCTGGCAGGGTATAGGCCACATACAAGCTCCTTCCATTTATCTCTGTCCTGAGCCATCCTTCCAAGCTCGTTCCAAGTGAGCTTCATTTCTCTCATGTCCCTTTCCACGCATCTCCTCCATGTTTCCCATGGCCTATCCCTGCCTCGTGCTCCCTGTGGGTTCCCCTGCAGTGACTGTCTTGTGATGTTTCCACTGGGCTTTCTTAAGGTGTGTCCCATCCATCGCCACTTTCTTAGTCCTATTTCTACTTCTATATATCCATCATTAATTCTATACAGATAGAAAAACATTTCCGTTCTCTCTCTCTCTCTCTCTCTCTCTCTCTCTCTCTCTCTCTCTCTCTCTCTCTTTCTCTCTCTCTCTCTCTCCCCCTCTCTCTCTCTCTCTCCCCCTCTCTCTCTCTCTCTCCCCCTCTCTCTTTTCTCTCCCTATCTCTCTCTCCTTTTCTCTCTCTCATTCTCACACGCTATTTCTTCAGTCTCACAGTCTGGCATACACATGCATATATATCACAGTACATCATTATGACAGGTATGCTTTTGTGAATAAAAAATGCTTCAGCTGATTTTTTAAAATGGAAATTGTTGGGGCAGATCTTATTTTATATGGGAGTTTGTTCCATACCTGGGGACCAAAGAATAAAAAGGAACGCTCGCCGTATGTTTTGTAATTTTGTTTTGGAGTTTTAAGAATTAGATTATCAGAGGCTGATCTAAGGGCTCTAGGTGGATGATATAATTCCAGGAATGTTTTAAGATAAAAAGGTGCACTATCATTTATACATTTAAAACAGAGAACGGCAGTTTTGTATTTGATCATTTCTTTTATTGGCAGCCAGTGTAGTTCTTTCAGAATTGGTGTTACGTGCGCTGATTTCTTTTGTTTCATTATCAATTTTGCTGCTTGATTTTGGAGTACTTGTAACTTTGATAGTTTTTCGGATGTCAAACCGGACAAAATAGCATTACAGGATTCTAACTTTGATAAAATGAGTGTTGTTACAAGTGTCTTGGCTGCTGCTTTAGTTAAATAATTTTGTACACTGCCAATTTTCTTAAGCTGAAAGTAAATACTTTTGCTGAGCTGGCTAATTTGGGAGGACATAGACATATCATAATCCAACTGAACCCCTAGATTTTTAAGACTTCTTTTTGAACAAATGGTATGGTTATTAATATCAATTAGTAGCTCTGGGAGATTTTTAATGGCTTTTGTATTTCCACTCAACATTATTTCCGTCTTGTCATCATTTAGTTTCAATTTATTGCTGGTCATCCATATTTTTAAATCTCTAGTACATTGTTCAGTAGAGTCGACTAAAAGTGGTATTTGATCGAAATCAATAGACTTATAAATTTGAGTGTCATCAGCATAAAGATGGTAATTCATGCCATATTGTTTTAAAATATCAGCAATAGGTTGTGTATACATTGTAAACAAGACAGGTCCAAGAACAGACCCCTGAGGAACACCACATTTAAGCAAAACATTATTAGAACATGAACATGTGTTTCCAACCACAACTGCTTGTGTTCGATCCTTAAAATATGACCCAAACCATCGCAGGACAGTACCCTTTATGCCAAAAGTAGTATTTAATCTCTCGAGTAAAATGTCATGATCAATGGTATCGAATGCACCCAAAAGGTCCAAAAGAGTAAGAAGACATACCTTTTTTTCATCAATATATTTTAAAACATCAGTAAAATAGGTTTATTAGATCTAGAGCTATCCCTTTCATTGTCACTGGCTTTAGATTGATTGGAGTTTGTGTTATTGTTATCAAGAATTATATTTCAATCGACATTAGACTCTGAAGAATCATTATTTTCACTGTTTACAGTGGCTTGCTTAACATTTATTTTTTTCCCCTTTCTTGATGATTCGAATGCCATGGTCAGCTTGTTGTTTTTGTATTGTTGCTTTTTGGTGGGGTTTGTTACATCTTTAAAGCTTTGAAAACCAACATAAAGGCACCCAGGAAACTGCTTTCTTATGCACTTTTTTCCGAGCTCATGTAAGTCTACTTCTTTTTTAACTTCCTATTATTCTGTGGAAAGCTGGACTGGACAAGAGAGAAACAACTCTTCTTTGTTAGAAAGATTAGAAAGGATTACCCTCAACGTCTACAGAGTGGATGAGCCACTGTAGTGTCACAAATTCAGCGTCAAGTCAGTAGATGTGCTGACTTTCAAGAGTTAAAGTAACCTCTTCATGGTTTACCCTTTAAGAAATAAACAATTGAATTGCACATGCTGCTCAAAGCAATGTTCATTTGAAAACTGACAGCCTACTCAAATCATGAAGCACTGAAAAGAAAGTATTGGCCCAACCCAAGGTAAAGAGCCCCAAAACTCTACAGGAGCCTGAAGGACCAGTGGGGAACAGCAGCCTTGGCACAAGTCAGAAGATCACGTAAAAAGCCTGAAAAGAATTAGAACCTGTTGATGACCATTCACTTGTACTTATATATTACTTTCACCAAAGACTCTGAATTATAGAAAAAGTTTGCCATGATGTTTTCATTTTTTGTGTGTGTGATCGGATAGACATGGTAATCATGAATTTATTGGCTTTACCGATTTACGAGTGCGCAGTCTTTAACATCTGTTGTATGTCTAGTTTTTATCAAAGTAATTATGAAATAGACTGCAGTGCTGAATGTTTGGGTTTACTCATGTAATTGTTGATAGCTTGTGATACAGACCCATTGTGAAAGCTGCAGTCTTTGACAGAAATATGTGTGTGGGCACAAGTTGATAGTTCAGAGGTCAAGGACCTTTTGGGTTCCCATTGGCTGGTCTGAATGGAGCTTGAGCCTGTAGTCATTGGGGTTTTTTATTGTGGGTTTTTTAGGGGGGTTGGAGCTATCAGTTCAGAGGCATAATGGCTTATCACCATACTGATTTACCCTCTGCAGGTTGTGTACTGCACTCTGGTCAACATTCACATGCAAAATCCGTATTCTACAGGCTTTGTGTTCCAGCCAGACACATTTTTCTGCACTGAAGAAATGCACGTCTCATTTGAAAGAAATCAGAAAGTGCTTGTGTCCTGTTACCCACAGTAGGTCTATAGGCGGACTATGTTTAAGTTGTTGTTAAGTACTTGTGAATTTTTTCATTTTGTTGGAGGTCACCATTGGTAGGTCCTATTTTTATTTTTCCCTTCGTTGTTTCTGTCTGTCTAACACTTTCCTTGCTTTAAATGACTGTTAAAGTTTCAATATGCTTCTCTATACTTAAACAAAAAACAAACATGATATCATTGCTTTGTACATACTAATAAGATTTGAAGGTTTAAGTCTGTTTCTGTGTATTGTTTCATATCAAAGTATTTTTAAATGTTTATGATGCAATTTGTATGCATTGCATGGAAGACTTCAACATTTTAATGCAAAAGATTTATGAAGCAACTTGTCCATAATATGTCAATTCTCAATTATTTAATAATTTCCAGCTGGTAAAACTCTGCTGGTGTGTGCATGCTTTCAGGCTGTCTTTTAATGACTGTCTGGCTCAGTGTCACAACATTACTTTTCTTAGTCTGCAAGTCTTAATCTTCAATCATTTTTTTTCATTGCAACTTTTTCTGCCAGGGAAAGGTTTTACTCAGCTTGTGCTCTCATTTCTCTCTTAGTTATATATCTATTCTATTCATAGTATCATTCATAGGAAGAAGTTGTCGAATGACAGTCCGTGGCTTTTTTTTTTTTTTTTTAGTCTCCTTTTGTTGCTGTGAATATTGAGGTGCAAAGGATGCATGTAATATATATAAGTGTGTATGATTCCCTACACATGGATTTATAATCATCCGTTCAACGTATTCTTCACCGGTATCTGGGGTGTAGCAGTTAGGCGCTTCTCTGTCGCACACAGGTGAAAACAAGTTTGATTCTCGAGTCTTTCTCTTGGGACGTTGTTTCCCTCTCAGCCTGGTTAGGCTCCGTCAGGAAGAGCCAAAGCCTGCCTCCTAAATGCATGTAATCAAAATTGTGTAAAGGGGCTTTTTTTTTAAATTGGATTAATGAGTAGGGGGGGGGGGTGGAGCAGAGTACTTATTCTTGATTAATTTATTATAGGTTTTCAGTTTGTACTTTTTTTTTCAGCACTTCTCTTTCGCTATTGTCTTCTTTTTCTGTATATTCAGGTATGTTGATAGTAATGACAGCACTGAAGGACTCTTTGCTTTCGATAACTCCCAGTGAATTCTATATATGGACTCTCTTTAGTGTCTGCTAATTTTTCCATGGGACTTCTTTTGAGATTGTGGTTGTTAGGAGAGAAAAAAACAAAACAAACTGGCAGACAACCATTATTGGAAAAGGGGATTGGGTGCAGGAGTGAATGTTGCATCTTTAATAGGAAAGCTGTAACATACATACAGAGCATTAAAACATA